CAGCGCAACAGGTGTAAGCTTCCAGCATCGCCATACATTCAGAGATGGCCAGGGCCCATGAATGCCGCAAGTCTCGGCGCGGGCACGACCTTGGAGCATAGAACGAAGCTTCCCGATCAGGCAAGAATCGAAGGCCTGGAGGCCCGCTTTGGCGCACAGGTAGCTCTCGCCTCCAGAGGTGGCCGCGCTGTGAACACATCCTCCGAAAAGAAGGCGCTCGGGTTTCCAACCCGACTGTGGGTGCCAAAAGCCAGACAGTTGGTTCCACGCCCGGCTGATGGCTTGCAGTCGCCCAGCTCGTCCAGCTACGTTGCTGCCAGACGAAGAGAAGATGCCGCCAAGGTGCTTCAGCTCGGGCAGCATCTTTCCAACTAATCGTCGGCCCCGTGCAAGTGCGTGAGTAATGCCACGGCGGGAGGCAGCAACGACGATCTCGGCCTTGGTGCGATGATGCTTGTATTCTGTCTCTTCGCCGCAGGTGCCCAGGCACTCTGCGCCAAGATTGCCCACGCCACGAATCTCCTCAGCTGTAGCCTCAGGTGGCACGGCCAATAACTTCAGTAGATCGCCAATGAAGAGCCCAACGCCAACGTCGACGGCATCGTGAAACATATCAGAAGAAGCCAAGGTATATGTCGAGAAACTGTTGGCGTTAGCGGTATACTCGGAAATACTTTCGTAGTAGTTGCCCATGAAGAATTCTGGTTCGTTGCAACCACCCATGAGGCCGCCACTACCTGCCTTCTAGCACAGCCAGCCCTGCGGAGAGTTGATGCGCATGACAGCGTGAAATCGCCGCTGGGCGGTGAAGTCCAGGTTGCCTTGGATTCGTCGCTCCATGTCATCAGGTGAGCCTTGGTCCACATACTTCTGTAAGACACGATTACCAGTGATAAGCATAAAATCATCCAACTTCCCACTCTGGAATGCAGCTCGTTGGTCGTATAATTTTGTAACCAGGGTCCATCGACCTGCTCGAACGCGATACGCCACGATACGTGATAAACACATCACTGTCTCCCTTCTGCGCTTGCTGATGCCACCGCACGCCCATTCAGGGGGCGCGCGAGGACCGCCCTCGAAGTTCGTGATGCGTCTGAAGAAACTGCGCCACCACGGGCAAAAGCAGTGAAGGAGTCGAAGTCCAGATGGCCCAGCAATAGCTTTCTTCTTGTCCAGAGCAAACGTCTGACTCATGTTGGCCTGGTTCGGAGTAGCAAGAGTAGCTCGGGAGCTTGGATGCCTGAGTATACTCTTCCAGGGGCGGCTTTCGTTTTGATGGGTCGGGCGGGCTCTCGAAGTCCATCGGGTCAAATGACATCAAGAGTCCCAGTCCTGCCGCCTGTGCCCCAGGCTCGCTGAGGATGCAAGGGTTGGTCATGATGAGGTGAATCTCTGTCGGTAAACTCCAGCAAGGTGCAAACTTTCGCCTCTTCATTTTCCAAAGGTGCTTCCTCGTCTCGTAGAAGTCGTCTGGGCCCAAGGACAGCTCCTGAATGCCGATCGCGATCGCATGTCCTTCAGGCCGCTGTGGAAGAAAGATCTGCTCGCCTGGACGGCGCGCCACGGCGAGCGCAGGTAAAATGTCATCATTGGGAAGTTGCTTCGCAGAGAATCCCCCTTCGCCGCCGGCCAAACTTAAAGAGTCGATCCACTCCTGCATAGCTGGCTGGCATGATGGTAATGAGCGAAGGTCCCTTTTGCTTACACCTATGCCCCGATGTGCTCGTCGTCTTGCAGCCGAATGCATGTCTGCCATCTGTCGGTGAGCCCATCCTTCGCGAATCTGCTGTTCGAGGTCACGGTCTGAGTGTGCCCGTACTCGTTTCAGATGAGCATGCAGCACCTTAGTGATAGCCTTTACCTCGTCACGTGCTGCGTCAGGTGCGTCGATGTGAAAGGCTGAGCGCTTGGCGATGGCCAAATCCTTGAGCAGGTCCAGTCTTCGCCTCATAGCTTCTCTGTACCACGGAGGCCGCTCGCAAGCCAGGGAGAAATGCTTCAACGCGACTTGTCTACTGACCTCGACGGAGAGGTACATGTGCCTATCTGGGTTGGGGTCCGTACGTACCTCTTGAAACTGGTCCTGGTACTGCTCGAGCTTCTCGCGTAAATCACGCAGAAAGGGCTCACGTCCATGTCCTTGCTGCAGGCATTGCATGATCTTGGGCCAACTCCAGCTGCTGCGAGTGGTTTGATCAAAAACCAGGGCATGGTAGAAGTAGTCTGACAACGATGGGGATGTGGTCCAGGAAGTACTTGTTTTTCCTCGTACGTCGTGCTGTGGCCAGCCATCGCCTGCATGTGGACTCCGCGATCAGGGACGAAGGTATGAAGACATAATCAATCGTAGTGGTTCCACTATGGCCAATAAAAGTAGGCCCCACCTTGCGGTGGGTGTTGATGGCACCCATGTCGTGTGCAAGAAGGTCGTGTAGAGTTGTTCCGTTCTCGTTCGCATGCCCATTGCCAGAAGGACCCATACATTCGTCCTGATGAATATGCTGACCACGTAGGCCCATACCAGTATTCGCGTCGGACAAGATGATCGGAACTCGTCGAAATGGGCAACTGCGCAGTAGATGATCCGTCCATTGTCGTAATACTTGGCACCCTTTGGCGCCAGCAGGGTCGAGCCTTGGCAGTGCGCGGCCTGGGCTCGAAGTACACAACCACCACCCGCAAACAGAGAGGTCCCTGGTCGATGTCGATCGCGCCACCTCTGCCTGCGACGATGTTGGGCGGCACCTCGATGGAGGTGACGGAGGAGCTCTTGACGCGCTCTCCCAAAAGGATGCTGCAGCCCGCGCTCTTGTTCGTGCAGGCTGCTGGTTGCCACGGGAAGTGAATGATGCTGTGGTAGGGCGTGGTCTCGCGTGTGTGAACGGGGCGCGGGTCACCTCGTGCAAATGCCTGTGGTCGTCGGCGGCCTGTCCCCGTCAGGCCTCCCTCCGCCACGCTGCGGTACGCCAGGCTCAACTCCAGAAGTCGCGACGGCTGGAGGCTGCCCACGTTGTGGGCGAGCACGGGGAACACACGAAGGAGTCCTGGTACGCCTCTCATGGGCGCGCTGCCCCACGGCTCCCGTGGCGGCTCATGGCAGGCGCGAGCAAAGGCGGCTCGGTCTGCCGCGCGGAGCCGTGCCGTCAGTGGACGGAGCCAGAGCGGCTGTGATGGTGATGGTGATGGTGATGGTGATGGTGATGGTGATGGTGATGGTGATGGTGATGGTGATGGTGATGGTGATGGTGATGGTGGTGGTGATGGTGATGGTGATGGTGATGGTGATGGTGGTGGTGATGGTGATGGTGATGGCGACGGTGATGGTGATGGTGATGGTGATGGTGATGGTGAAAGCGATGGTGACGGTGATGATGGCAATGCTGCTGCTGGTGAGCACCGTGTTCCCGCTGCGTGGCCAGCTCGTGCTGCTTACTCTTGCGTTTCACACCTGCCTCCTCTCTCCTCGGACCTCCGACGCAGGCCCAATCCAGCTCCCAGCTCCCTCCCCTCCCGCCCCCTCTCGCCTGCGCTTCCCCCCCTCCTCTGGCATCGCCCCTCCCTCCCTCCGAGTCTGCCCCGCGACGCTGCGGTAATTGACCCCCGCGACAGGAGGCACTGCCTCCCAGCCATCCCTGAACGTGGGTCTGCCGTCCAAGAAGGTCGGTGCCCGTGACCGCCCTCGCCCAGCGCCGACCCACTCCACCAACCAACCTTTCTCCCTCCTCCCCCGCTCACGTCGATAGGGCGACGAGATCTATACATCTCCACTGCTCCTGGCCAAGCCCATCCTGGGTCCAGGAGCGGTGTATATGTCCCCCTGACTAGGCCACGAGGGCGTATGCACCGCTCCCGGGCCCAGGATGGGCCTGGCCACGAGCAGTGGCTATGTATAGATCTCGTAGCCCTAATCAACCTCTTTATTTCCGACGCCACACAGAACACATGTGCTAGGCCGAGGAATTGGAAAAGGGTCAGCAGGCACGTGCGGAGCGGGCACGCTCAAGCTGGCCAGGGGAGCGGTTGGTTTGCCGGAAACCTGAGATACAGCGTCGTCTCAAGCGACGGCCTCTGCTCTGAAAGACGGTCTCCCTCCCTCCCTCCCTACCTCCCTCGCTCCCTCGCTCCCTCCCTCACACGGGTCCTTGGCATGAACAGCAAAGGTACTCCAGATTTCGTAATAAAAGGGAGGGGGTCTGGACCCTCCAAGACAAGCCATTTCAGACCTCCCCCGTGGGAGAACCCTCCAAAACATCGTCCCCAGACCCCCCAGGCCCTCCAAGATAGCCTGGAAGAGACCCCCCCCCCGAAATGAGACCCCCCTCCCTTTATTACGAAATCTGGGGTACTCGGCGAAACGGGCCCCTAGACCCCCGGAGCTTCCCCCTCCTGGATCGTGTCTTGACGGCCCCGGGGGGCCTTGGACAGAGGTCCCGCAAGCCCGACATCGCCGAAGAGCCTCCAGGGCCCGTTCCCACACCTCCTGAAGGGGCCCAGGGACACACAAATAAACAGACTCAAAAATCCCAGGATTCCCCCTATCTTCCCACATTCTCTGGGTTGTCCTCTTCCCCCCCCCCACACTTCCCCTTTTGTCCCATATTCTCCAGGGGATCGACGATTAATTCTGCCTGTGTTTGTTTTTCCCCTCCGGAATTGTGGACCACTTCCTGGTGACCGACTGTTCGTCCCCGGCTGCTTTCCTTGACGGTCCCACGGCCCGGCGAGGGCCGCACGAAGCCGAAAACTACAAAAAGCCTCCATATTGCATTCTCCTCCTCCTCCTCCTCCTCCTCCTCCTCCTCCTCCTCCTCCTCCTCCTCCCCCTCCTCTCCTCCTCCTCCTCCCCCTCCTCCCTCCCCCTCCTCCTCCTCCTCCTCCCCCTCCTCCTCCTCCTCCTCCTCCTCCTCCTCCTCCTCCCCCTCCGTCACGGCGATTGTCCCTGCCCCGCTGGTCGAACCCTGCGCGGCATACGAAAAGAGAGGCTCGCCGCGGAGCTCCGCTCCACCGCCGCGGCCGCCGCGGCCGCCACGGCCGCCGCCGCCGCCGCCGCGGCCCCTCCCGCCCGCAAAGGGAGGGGAGAAAGAGGAAAAGGAGGCCTCACTGGGCGGCTCGCAGCTCTCGCCCCGTCGCTCGTGCCCCTGTTTGCTTTCCCCCCCCCTCTCTCTCTCTCTCTCTCTCTCTCCCTCTCTCTCTCTCTCTCTCTCTCTTTCTCTTGGTCTGTCTTATGTTATCATTATGTTATCTCTCTCTCTCTATTCCTCTCTCTCTCTTTCTCTGTGTGTTTTCCTCTCTCTCTATCTCTCTCTCTCTCTGTCTCTCTCTCTGTCTCTCTCTCTCTCTCTCTCTCTCTCTCTCTTCTTCATTAGTTATATATACATATGTAAATGTATAAATGTGTGTGTCTGTGTAGTTATTATTGTCTGTGTCTCCCTCGTTCTCTCCATATATATACACACACAGACACACACAGACACACACATGAATACATACATGCATACATACATACATACATACATACATGCATACGTACGTACGTACGTACGTACATACATACACACATACATACACACATACATACACACATACATACACACACATATATACATACATTACAGCGCATTACATTACATCACAATACAATACAATACAATACATTGCATTACACTACATTACATTACATTACACTGCATTACAATACTTTACATTACATCACATTACATTACATTACAATACATTACATCACATTACATACATACATGCATACACTGATACATTCATACAGTCATACAGTCATACATTCATAAATTCATACATAAACATATACATCTACATATACATATACATATACATACATCTATATATATACATATACATGCACTCGAATATATATATATATATATATATATATACATACACGTAAACATATACATATACACGTACATATACATATACATAAACATATAGCGATACATAAATATATACATATAAATATATACATATACTTACACATATACACATACACAAATACATATACCTATACATATGTATACATATACATATACATATGCATATACATATACATACATACATACAAAAAAACATACATACATACATACATACATACACAGAGACAGACAGACAGACAGACAGACAGACAAGTCCATAAGTATGCACGTGTAATTCCCCAAACAATGCTTGAGCTCAGAGTATCTCACTTCGCATCTAAGGAACTGGGACCGCCTGTTGGCGTGGCGGCCCCGTTCCCATCCATCTCCGCAGCCCCGTTGCACCCCGCTCCCCTTGCACTCCCCCCCCTTCGCATCGCAAGCTTCGCATTGGTTTGCATTGTTGCATATTGTTCTGTAATGTGTGCTGCATTGCTTTGCATCGCATTGCATTGCTTGCATTGCATTGCTTTGCACTGTTTCGCATTGCTTCGAATTGCTTTGTACTGTTTTGATGTGCCTTGCGTCTGTTGCATTGCACTTGTTTGCATCGGCTTGCATTGCTTCCAATTGCGCTACATTGCGTCGCATTGCTTCGCGTTGCTTCGCAATGCTTTGCATTGGCTGACATTACTTTGCATTGCCTTGCGGCGTGTGGCATTGCTTTGCTTTGTGTTGACTGATATTGTTTTGCATGTGGGTGCATAGTTATTTGCCAGAAGATCCGAAGATTCTGGCAATACGATTGGTATATGGTCTTGTTATATGATCGTCCCTTGATCTACTAATGGTTTGGACATTCATGGGCTCGGCCATCAACTTAGGTTTGTCCGTTAAGCAGAGACTACGACAGATGCAGTTAGATGCGTAGGTGCGCGCCCAACCCGAGAGGAGGGGAGGGCGCGCGCTTTTGACACCTCGCAGCCCAAACAGCTGCAGTCAACGCGGCGATGACAGAGGTCGATAATCGGTGGCTGCGGCGGCAGCAGGAGACGGCAGGAATAGAGCTAGATGAACTCCCCCCGCGGCAGGATGTCCAGGCCAAGCTACAATTCCCTTCTTCGGAGCTGCAAGACTTCGTGCGATCCTCAGGCACATTGGCCCCCTGGGCGACAAACCCCCAAAACGATTTTTTACGGGCCGGTGCCCAACCGCAATTAGACAGTTAAGGAAAATGTGTTCGGGAAGTCGTTTTCTAGGCCCCGGCTAGGAGGACTGGGGCCCGAGCCCAAAGGCAATCAGATAATATAGAAAAATGTGTTCGGGGAGTCCTTTTGCTGGGCTGATGCCGGGGACAGGTGTCCCCGGCATGATGGTAAAGAACAATTTGTTTGGGGAGTCCTTTTCTGGGCCCTGGCCAAGAGACCGGGGCCCGAGCCCAAAGGCAATCAGAGTTGGGGAGCTCTTTCCCTGGGCGGGGAAAGGCACTGGGGCCAGAGCTCAAAGACAATTAGATACGAAAGGAAATGCTTTGGGGACGTCATTTTTGGGGCCACGGTCAGGAGACCGGGGCCGGAGCCCAAAGGCAATCGGATTGGAAAAGAAAATGTGTTCGTGGAGTTCTTCCCCTGGGCCGGAGCCCAAAAGGCAAGTAGATAATGAAGAAAAATGTGTCTGGGGAGTCGTTTCAGGGCCCTGGCCAAGAGACCGGGGCCCGAGCCCAAAGGCAATCAGATTGCAAAAAAAAATGCGCTTGGGAAGTTCTTTTCCTGCGCCAGGGAAAGGTACTGGGGCCGGAGCCCAAAAGCAATTAGATAGTAAAGGAAAGTGCATCTGGGGAGTCCTTTTATAGGCCCTGGCCAGGAGACTGGGGCTGGAGCCCGAAGGCAATCAGATTGCAAAAGGAAATGTGAAGAATGTGCTTGGGGAGTCCTTTTCCTGGGCCAGGGTCGAAACAGCTGTCCCCAGTATTGAAGGGGCCCTGGGACACACAAATAAATACACACAAACAACAGGTTCCCCCGTATTTTCCCATATTTTCTGGGTTTTTGTCTTCCCCCCCACTTCCCATATTTTCCCATATTTTCCTGGGAGTGGACGATTAATTGTGTCTGTGTGTTTTGTTCCCCTCCTGAAGTATGCCGGGGACAAGTGTCCCCGGCACGATGGGGACAGGTACTGGGGCCGGAGCCTCAAGGCAACTTAGGTGTAAAGAAATAAGTGTTTGGGAGACTTTTTCTGGACCAGGAGACCGGGGCTGGAGCCCAAAGGCAAGCAGACTGAAGGAAAATGTGCTTGGGGAGTACTTTTCCAGGGCAAGGGAAAGGCACTGGGGACGGAGCCTATAAAAGGCAGTTATTTAAAAAGACCATGCTTTTCTGAGCCCTGGCTAGGAGACAGGGGCTGGAGCTCAAAAGCAATCCGACTGTAAAAGAAAAGGTGCTTGAGGATTTTCTCCTGGGCCGGAGCCGAGGCAGCTGTCCTCAGCTTGCCCAGGTACCAGGGCCGGAGCCCAAAGGCAATTAAAAAGCAAAGGAAAATGTATCTGGGGAGTCCTCTTCCTGGGCTGGGGCCAAAGCAACTATCCCCGGCATGCCAGGGACAGGTGTCGTCCCAGGCATTCCGGACACATACCGGGACTGGAGCCCAAAGGCAAGTATAGATAATACAGAAAAATGTGCGTGCGTGTGGAATGTCCTCTTCTGGGCCCTGGCCAGGAGACCGAGGCCAGAGCCCAAAGGGAATCAGATAGCAAAGGGAAATGCGAAAAATGTGCTTGGGGAGTCCTTTTCCTGGGCCGGGGCCGAGGCAGCTGTCCCCGGCATGCAAGGTATGGTGTCTCCGGCACGCCGGGGACAGGTACTGGGGCCCGTGCTCGAAGGCAATGAGATAATAAAGAAAAACGTGTCTGAGGAGTCCTTTTCTGGGCCCTGGCTGGGGACTCGGGCCGGAGCCCAAAGGCAATCAGATAGTAAAGGTATGTTGAGCGTCCTTTTCTGGGCCAGGGCCAGGAGACTGGGGCCAGAGCCCAAAGGCAGTCAAATAATAAAGAAAAATGTGTTTGGGGAGTTGTTTTCCGTGGCCCAGGCCAGGGGACGGGGCCGGGGCCAAAAGGCAATCAGATTGTAAATAAAAATGTGTTTAGGGAATGGCTTTTCGATGCCAGGGCTGGGGCCAGAGCCTGGTCCAGGGCTGGAATCGGGGAACGGAAATGCTGCGTGTCGCTGCTTGCTGCTCTGTATCTCTCTCCCTCTCTCTCACTATCCCTCTTTCTTACTCTTTGTTTGTCTGTCGGTCTCTCTCTCTCTCTCTCGCTCGCTCGCTCGCTCGCTCCCTCTTTTCTCAAGGTAACTGCCAGGGAAGGGCTGCGGTCATCAGCTGAAGCACGCAATGGATTGCGCCAAAACGTCCAGGATCTGTTTCACCCGGGCTGGCAACGATGTCCTACCATGATGTTCCGAAGACAGCAGCAACAAAATGTGAATGCTATATACATATGTGTATTATACACACAAACACTCGCTCTCTCACACACACTCGTATCTATAGAACAGAATGGACAATAATAGAATCTAATAGAATAGAACAGAATAGAACAGAACAGAACAGAACAGAACATCACAGAACATCACAGAACTGAACAGGACAGGACAGGACAGGACAGAACAGAACAGAACAGAACATAATAGAATAGAATATAATAGAATTGAATAGAGTAGAAGAGAATAGAATAGAATGGAATAGAATGGAATAGAATTGAATAGACTAGAATAAAATAGAATATAATAGAATAGAATAGAATGGAATAGAATGGAATAGAGAATATAATATAATAGTCTATGATAGAATATGATATAATAGAATAGAATAGAATATGATAAAATAGAGTAGAATAGAATAGAATATAATAGAATAGAATGTAGAATGTAGAATATAGAATACAGAATACATAATATAGAATATAGAGTATTTAATCTAGAAAACAGAATACATAATATATTATATAGAATATATACTATAGAAAATACAATACAGAATATAGAATATAGACTATAGAATATATCATATAGAATATAGAATATAGAATACAGAATATAGAAATAGAGAATATAGAATATAGAATATAGAATATAGAATATAGAATATAGAATATAGAATATAGAATATAGAATATAGAATATAGAATATAGATTATAGAACAGAGAACAGAGAGTATAGAGTATAGACTGTAGAGTAGAATATAGAATATGGAATATAGATTACAGAATACAGAATACAGAATATAGAATATAGAATTTAAAATATAGAATAGAGACTACAGAATATAGAATATGGAATATGGAATATGGAAAATAGAATATAGAATATAGAACAAACAATCAAGAATATAGAATATAGAATATAGAACATAGAATCTAGAATCTAGAATCGAGAATCTAGAATCTAGAATCTAGAAACTAGAATCTAGAACATAGCATATAGAAAATTAGAATTTAGAATTTAGAATTGGAATATAGAATATATAATATAGAATATAGAATATAGAATATAGAATATAGAATATAGAATATAGAATATAAAATATAGAATATAGAATATATAATATAGAATATAGAGTATAGAATATAGGATATCGAGTATATAATGTAGAGTATAGAATACAGAATATAGGATATAGGATATAGAATATAGAATATAGAATGTAGACTATAGACTATGGACTATAGGCTATGGACTACAGACTATAGACTATAGAATATAGAATGTAGAATATAGAATGTAAAATGTAGAATGTAGAATGTAGAATATAAGATATAGAATATAGAATATAGAATATAGAATATATAATATAGAATATGGAATATAGAATACAGAATACAGAATATAGACTATAGAATATAGAATATAGAATATACACTATAGAATAGAGACTAGAATAGAATGGAATGGAATGACATGTAATAGAAAAAGGATATGTAATAGAATGGGATATAATAGGACAGAACAGAATAGAAAATAATAATGGGGTAGACCATAATATAATAGAATACAACATAAAAATAGAGTATAATAGAATAGAAAAGAACAAATGATCATAGGCTAGAAAATAACATAATATAACAGAACCTAATAAAATACACAGAGTATAATAGAAGAGAACAAAATATAATAGAAAATAATAGAATGGAATAGAATAGAATAGAATAGAATAGAATTTAATATAATGAAATAGAACATAATAGAATAGAATATAATAGAATAGAATTGAATTGAACATAACGGAACATAATAGAACAGAATAGGGTAGAAAATGATATGATAGAATATAACAGAATGGAATACTTAGGATAGAACATATTAGAATAGGCTAGAATATGATATAATATAATAAAGCATAATATAACACATAATAAAATAGCGTATAATAGAATAGAATAGAATAGAATAGAATAGAATAGAATAGAATAGAATAAAAATTAAATAGAATGGAATATAATAGAATAGAATAGAATAGAATAGAATAGAGTAGGAAGAAATATAGATAGATCCCCCTCCCTCTCCCTTCGCCCCTATGTGGGCGCCCTGCCCCCCGCTCCTGCCGAGGCCCAGAGGGCCCGGCCGGCCGAGAACAGAGCATTCTGCCACGGCCGATCGCCCTGGGACAGGGGCCGGCTGGGGTCCTGGGCTGAGTCAGACCAAGGCTCCTGCCCTCATCGACGCCGCCGCCGCCGCCGCCGCCGCCGCCGACGACGACAACCACGACGACGAGGACGGACGGCGACGGTCGCCGCCGCCGCCAACGACGACGACAACCACGACGACGAGGACGAAGACGAGGACGGCGGCGGCGGCGGCCGCGACGACGGCGGCAGCGGCGGCGGCGGCGCACGCTCTCCGGGCGGGGGCGCCCAGGGCGGCCGTCGGGCTGGAAGCCTCTCTCCTCTCGGCCGCCCTGGCTCCTGGGGCGCGCTGCGGGTGCTCCTCCTCCTCCTCCTGCTCCTCCTGCTCCTCCTCCTCCTCCCCCTCCTCCTCCTCGTCCTCCTCCGCCTCCCCCTCCTCCCCCTCCTCCTCCTCCTCCTCCTCGTCCTCCTCCTCCTCCTCCTCACCCTGCGCCCTCCTCCACCCCTCGCCCCCTCCCTCCCTCGTGACAGTTCTGGCGAAGCAGAGCGCAAGATTGTCGCAAGTGCCTGCGACGGGCTGGGGGTACCCGTTCTCTCACCTGGACCAGAAAACAAACGACACCACCCCACCTACGGACCCCCAGGGCTTAGCGTATACCCCCGGGGCTTAGCTTTTGTGTGGTATGCGCTACGGCCCCCGACGGGCCGTAGCGCAACATGGGCCGTAGGTGGGGTGGCGTCGTTTGTTGTTTGGTCGATCTCCTGTCCTCCTCTGTCTCCCCCCTTTCTGCTGCCCGTTTGGGCTCAAGATTTTTCTCGGTGCCTTGGAAGCCCCGGGCACCCAGGGGGCCCCTGGGGGCGGCAGGGAGCCACACAGCCCAGCCCAGCGACAACGCGGAGCCGCCGCGCCGCTGCGAGGGCCGGCGAGGCCGCGAGGCTGGGGGCGCAGCCGAGGAGGCGGCGCCCAGCGCGGCGTGGGCCCGGGGGCATGGCGACCCGCACAGCATGGCGGCGGCCGTGCCGATGATCATCAGGCTCGTCGCCGCCACCGCCCCCAGTCGCTGGATCAGAGGAGCCACGCCTGCGCTCTCCCGACGGCAGCTGGCGCCGAGGACGAGGCGCACCCAATCCTCCTGAGCATGGTTCACGGGCTGGTGAGGGTCGCAAGTGACCCCAGTGAGGAGGAGGATATGCTGTCCCTCACAGAGCGACCGAGGTGTGGGAGCTGGGCCACACAGGAGTGACCTCAGCCTCGTGTGCGCGCGCGCTGCTGTTGCTCAGGAGAGGCGAAAAACACCGGCGCAAGAGACGCCCAGTAGCCGAGGACGTCCAGGCGCAGGCAGAGGCAGGACCCCGCCAGACTTCACAAGTGGAGGGCGGGTTTTTCAAAATGTGGTGCTCGCCTCAGCGCCGCGCACGGTCGTTCTAAACATTTGCAGAGAGCTTCACGGATTGAGGGCGGGCCGTTTCCAAAAAGTTGCTCTCGCCTTGGCGCCGCATGCATCACACACTAAAACTGCGTCATCGTCCCCATATATATATATATATATATGCCCATATATATACATATATGTGTGTGCATGTTACTATATAGATACACACATATTTTTATTTGTTATCATCCTAATAATCTATGTTCGCGAATATGCACATATATGTGTACATTATATATAAATGCTCTCGCTTTCGCGCCGTGCACGGATTGAGGGCGGGTAGTTTTCAAAGTGTGGCTCTCGCCTCAGCGTCGGACACATTCATTCTAAAAACTTGCAAGAGCTTCACGGATTGAGGGCGGGACGTTTTCACAATGTGGCTCTCGCCTTAGCGCCGCGCACATTCGTTTGAAAAAACGGCTAAAAGCTTCACGGATTGAGGGCGGCTCATTTTCAATATGTAGCTCTCGCCTCAGAGCCGAGCGCACTCGTCCTCAAAATGCGCAGGAGTTTCACGGGTATGGTCAAAGTGCCAAACATGGTGCGTTGGAAAAACTCAGGGCTATGAGGGCGCAACAGTTACGTTTATTCGCCGCGTTGAAGTCCCAGGAATGGCACTCTGGCACGATTCCAGACCGTCAAGACGCAACAGTCATGTTAATTCGTGGCGTTAGGGTTCCGAGCATGGTGCTTTGGCACGTTTCAGGGTCCTCATCCCACCGAGGCAGCTCCCTCAGTGGAAATGAACCTGTGCAGGGGCATATGAAGAGGGAGTTTGGAGGCAGGGTGCATTCCAACATCAGTGATGAGTCTTGGGTTTACACTTCTCCTCCTCCATCTCATCCTCTTCTTCTGATTCTTAGTACGATTATTGTTTCTAGTCGACTTAGAAATGTAAGTAGTGGTGTTCTTCTTCTGCGTACCGTTCACATTACCAGTAATATGCGTATGTGTCGTATCGTTGTTAGGAATGCGCCTCTTCTGATTAGTTTCATATGTATATTACGATTCGTGTTATAGTATTCGTCATCTTGTACTGATGAGTAGTATTGTTTGTCTTAGTAGTACTGTGTGCAAGATCGTTTCCGTCGTCTTAGTTTTCGTATAACGATTGGTATTGTTCGTACTACTATTGATATTAGAATTCGTGTTGCTCATCGTAATGTATTCCTGCTCGTATGGTTGGTCTTGTTATTTCTCATCTTATGAACCGTATGTTGTCGTATGAATATTTCTCCTTCTCCACATCCTCCTTCTCCTCCTCATCATCATCAGCATCATCAGAATCACCAGCATCCTCATCAGCACCAGCATCATCGTCATCATCAGCAGCATCATCATCAGCAGCATCATCAGCATCAGCATCATCGTCACCATCATCATCATCATCATCATCATCATCATCATCATCATCATCATTAACATCATCATCATCAGGAGCATCAGCAGCATCCTCGTCATCATCCTCATCATCATCATCATCAGCAGCAGCATCAGCAGCATCGTCAGCATCAGCATCAGCATCAACATCATCCTCATCATCATCATCATAATCATCATCATCATCATCATCATCATCATCATCATCATCATCATCATCATCATCATCATCATCATCATCACATCATCATTAGCATCATCATCCCATCAGAGCATCAGCAGCTCCTCGTCATCATCTCATCATCATCATCAGCACATCATCAGCATCGCCAGCATCAGCATCAGCATCAGCATCATCCTCATCCTCATCCTCATCATCATCATCATCATCATCATCATCATCATCATCATCATCATCATCATCATCACCATCATCATCATCCGCCTCCTCCTCCTCCTTCCCCTGCTCCTCCTCCTTTTTAACGTTAAGCAAACCTTACGTGAGCCCTCCTCCTCCTCCTCCTCCCCCCCAGACACGCATGCGGGGCCGGGGACCGTTCCTGCCAAAGCCGCCCGGCACGGGCGGGGCGCGGCCCTGCCCGCAGCCACCGCCGCCGCAGGGTCGGCCCTCAGAAGGGGGCGGGGGAGGAGGGGGGAGGAGGAGGGGAGGAGGGGAGGATAGGGGGAGGCTGAGGAGGTGAGGGGAGGAGGGGGGAGTGGGAGAGGGAGGAAGGGGGAAGGTGGATGGCAGGAAGGAGGAGGGGAGGATGCGGGAGGGGAGGAGGAGGGAGGAGGGGGAGGGAGGAGGGGGAGCGGGAGGCAGGGGGAGGGGGAGGGAAGGGAGGGGGAAGGGGGAGGGGGGGAGGGGAAAGGGAGGGGGAGGGAAAGGGGGGGAGGAGGTAGCAGGGAGGGGAGAGTGGGGGGAGGGAGGAGGGGGGGCGGAAGGAGGGGAGGGGGGGGAAAGGGGAGGAGGGGAAGGGGGGAGGGGGGCGAAAAGGAGAGAGCGAGAGGAGGCCACAGGTGGAGGAATTGGGAAGAAGAGAGAGGACAGGAAGAGGAGGTAGAGCGGAGGGAAGAGAAGGAGGACGAGACACCTCAACTCGTTCGAGAAAGAGGTCCGCAGCTCGAGGCTCGAAGGAGGAGGAGGGGGACGAGGAGGAGGAGGAGAGCAGAAGGAGGAGCGGGAGTAGGGAGGGGAGAAGGGGGACGGGGAGAGAGCGGAGGGAGGAGCGGGAGTAGGGAGGAGCGGGAGTAGGGAGTAGGAGGAGGGAGTAGGGAGGGGAGGGGAGCGGGAGTAGGGAGGGGAGGGGAGGAGGAGCGGGAGTAGGGAGGAGGAGAGCAGAAGGAGGAGAAGGGGGACGGGGAGAGAGCGGAGTGAGGAGGACGAGGACCAGGAGAGGCCCACGATGCGATTCGGCGCTTCCCCAGCCGACTGGGCCAAAAGGCGTACGGAGATCTCTGGTACAAGGTTCCGAGTGTTTGTGTATTACTAGAGGGCTGAACCTCAACGGTGTTTTTCGTTTTCGCTTTGCTCTCCTTTCCCCCCGCTTTTGTCTCGAATCCGCCTTCTTACCGCAAAACGAAGTCGACACGAAAACGGCCCACGAGATCGCCAGAAACGCCGCTTGGGGTCAGCCCCGTATTGCTGCATCGCGCGCGCGGGTCGGCCCTTGGGCCACCCCCAAAAAAACGAAGAGGAGCCCTGGCCTTCGAGCGCCCGACCCGGGTCAGAGATGGTGTTCGGTGCGCGCGCGCGGCCTCCACGACCCCCGAAAACGCTCGAAGAGCGCCCCCGAAGGGGCCTGCCAGAGAGCCCAACTGGTGACTCCGCGGTCCAAAAGAGGCCTCCAAAACGCCACAAATTGCGCTCCCTTTGGAGTCCCGAGACGGTGCGGCGACGGGCCGCGCGGTGACCTCGAAATCCCCCGAGACCTCATCGCGCGGTCCGTCACCGCACGGTCTTGGGACCCCGGAGGCCCCTGTCGCCCGAGAATCACTCGGAGAACGACCCGAGTCCAAAAACCGTGCGGTGCCCCCGAATCCCCACCGACTCACCGCACGGTGTGGTCACCGCCCCGTTTGGGGGCCCCAAGGCCGCCCCTGGATGGCTCCAAAGGTAGTCCCGGGAGGCCAAAGCAATTGATTGTCCTGAAACTCTGCATGATTTCGACGATTTCACCTCTTCGGCCTTCCGACGGCCAAGACGGCCAAAGAGGCACCCATCAACATCGCCCCAAGGCAACCCAAGGAGGCCCCCGAGGCCCCCAAGAGGCCTCCAGAGGCCCCAAAAGGACACAAAAGGGGGAAACCGAATTGAGATTTCGAGTCCTTCCCCCAAAAGTGGCCTCCGAGACTGCCAGAAGACCCCCAAAAGCCCTCGAGAGGCCCCACGAATCCCCCAAAATGCCCCCGCGAGCACGGGGGCAAATGCTAACGATGCTACAATATGGGCCGGCAGATTGAGCGAAGCGATCCGCCTCCCCATCAGATACGGCGCGTGAGATCCCCGCGGCATGGTCTGCAAGGATTGTTTTTGGCCGGACGCCTCCAAGCACTGTCTGGGGCCTCCTCGGAAGCCCTCATGGGCTGTCTTGGGAGCCTCGTGGGGCATCTTGGGCTAGTTTGGACCTTTATTTGGACACGGGGCCGTCTCGAAACCTTCTCAAGCCCTCTCCAAGTCGTGATGAGCCGAAAAAGCGAAGCAGCTAAAAACCTTCCAAAACCATTGGGTTGTGACGATTTTGACTGCACCAGGCTCAGATGTCCACCCCTTGGAGGTATCTTGCGGAGCCTCTTGTGACAAGATTGGGGCCTCTCTGGCCAACTTGGGAAATTTCGGAAGCCTCTTGGGCGTCTCTTCTGGCGTGTGGAACTAGATTGGACCGTCAGGCCACCCTCTTGGACCTCTGTCCAAGGGGTCAAAAACAGTGTAATTGTAGTCCCTTTTGCCCCTTACCCTGCCTCTTGTGGTTTCGCCCGCCGCTTGGGACAGCTTCGGGTGCTCGTTCGAGCTGTTTGTAGGGCCTCGTGGGACCCTCCTAACCAGTTGTTGAAGTTCTCCGGCTCTCTGGGGCCGTATTGAACACCTCTTTACGTGGTCTTCTTCGGCTTCCACAATACCTCCAAAGTCCGTTCACGGTCATCCCATCGGGCTACTTTGCATCAAGGCGACCACGTTCGACAGAAATGGGCCGCTGGTGTGTCCCCTCAGAGGCGTTCAACCCGTCACCGTGGTCGAGGTCGAGGTTTTCGTGGTCGTCGCCGTCGTCGTCCACGTCTTCGTGGTCGTCGTCGCTGTCGTAGACGACGTGGTCGTCGTGACCGCCCTCATCCTCCTCCTCCTCCTCCTCCTCCTCCTCCTCCTCCTCCTGCTCCCTCCTCCTCCTCCTCCTCCTCCTCCTCCTCCTCCTCCTCCTCCTCCTCCTCCTCTCCTCCCTCCTCCTCCTCCTCCACCTCCTCCTCCACCTCCTCCTCCTCCTCCTCCTTATCCTCCTCCTCTTCTATCTGAACATTCACCTAAACCTGCCCCCACTCCTGACTCCCATGCTCCTCTTCTGCGCCCTCTTCATTCCCATTTCCCTCACGAGGAGGAGGAGGAGGAGGAGGAGGAGGACTACTAGTAGTATAAGCCCAAGACGCATCCAAGATGTTGCAATAAACCCTCCCTCCAAGTTCGCCCTTCACAGGGCCCTACAAGAATTTAGGTTCATTGCGGGAAGTACCCCATCGGAAGAAAACTGTCTGTGGGTCCTCAACCGGGCCAAAAAAACTATTCCTTGGGCTTCAGCGCGACTCAACATGACTGTTGCGTCCTGACAACCCTAAATCCTGCCAGAACACCTTTCCTAGGACTTCACCAGCGACAGTGAAGGTGATTGCTACGTCCTGACAATCCTAAATATTGCCAGAACATCTTTCCCGGGACTTCGAGCATGCCAACCCTTGAAACTGCTGCAAACTTTCAAAACGAATGTGCGCTGCGCTGGGGCGAGAGCCAAATGTTGAAAAAGAACCGCCCTTCATCCTTACAACTGCTGCAATCGAATGCGCGCGGCGCTAAGGCGAGAGCAACATTTTTAAAACCGCCCATCCTCGATCCGTGAAACTGCTGCAACTTGTAAACCGAATGTGCGCGGCGCTAAGGCGATAACAACCTTTCGAAAACGACCCGCCCTCGATCCGAAACTGCTGCAAACTTCGAGCTTCAAGATCATAAATGGCAAAAATGTCTCAAGCGAAACGCCAGGTCTTCCCTACCGACACGTCTGGGGGTGCGACACGGCGGAGTTATGAGGAATGGAGGACGACAACGAGGACGACGACGACGACACGCACGCCGACGCCGACGCCGACGCCGACGCCGACGCCGCCGCCGCCGACGCCGACGCCGACGACGACGACGCCGCCGCCGCCGCCGACGACGACGACGACGAATACGACGACGACGAAAATGAAGACGACGACTACGACGCCCACGACGACGCCGCCGACGACGACGACGACGACGACGACGACGACGACGACGACACGGACGGCGGTGACAAGGACGAGGGTGAAGACGGCAGCGGCGACGGCCCTGCGGCCAGGGCCGAGGTCTGTGTGGAGGAGAGGGAGGAGTCAGAGAATCACGAGGCCGAGGAGGAGGAAAACGAAACGAGGAGCGGCGAAAAGGAGAAAGGGGCGAGGAGGGGCAGAGGGGACGGAGGAGAGGAGGAGAGGCGGTGATGCGGCGGGCGGCTTCGCGAAGCGCTTGCTAGTGAGGATGAGGGGGAAAGGACAGGGGTGGGGGGCTGGCATCCTCCCTTGTAACGTTGCCCGTGACGGGAGAGGGAGAGAGGGGAAGTTTTTTAGGGTTCGGGCCCCACTGTCACCCAGAAGCGAGTGGCTTCAGGTCACGGTCCTCCTCCTGGTACACTACACGCGCCGACGGGTTCGCGGACGCTGGTCGTCAACATCCTCCCAGCTTCAATTGTTCATCGCGCCGTAGGTGCGCCAGGGGACCACCCTTGCAAGAAAGTCGATCAGGGTGGACGCGGCTACCACTTGTCAGTGGCCGAGGTAGTGCTGCCTGGGTAGATTGAAGCAACCTTTCTCTGACGTCAGGTACCATCTCACAGCCAACAATCAATGGGTACCCTGCGCCGGCATACTGACCTTTCAAGCTCCGTCAAAGTTAATGGCCCGCCCTGCAGCCAGGAATCGCCTTCCAGCGAAGCCGTGGGAACAGCACCCCGTGCAGCATCGCAGGGCCGCACTACTACCTAACTCGTCCGCGACAACGTTGTCCTCCCGAGGCTCGTGAAGTACAGTGGGGGCCCGACCACAAGAAACCTTCCACAACAAACCCAACCCTGAGACCCCAGAACGTCCCTTGATTTTGGGTGGGAGCGTCACGCTTTCCATCGCAAAACCATCGAAACACTTTTTTGATCTGCGGGGCGAGAGCGAACCTCTTCCGGTAAAAGCTAGGCGGGCAATTGGGGAGACAGGGCACAGGCGGGCTGGGCCTCAGGCGGCCGGAGGGCGAAAACCATCGAAACACAAGAAACCCAAGGCACCCTGGAGGCAGGCAGGGTGCTGCTTGGCATGGGCCCCCGCTGCAGCGAGCCTCCTCCTGCCTCCGCGGGG